CACTATATGTGGAATCTTAAAAAAAAAAAAAAAAAAAGGCTTTCATAGAAGTAGAGAGTATCAAAGCCTGGGGAAGGAGTGGGGGGAGGGGGGGAAGAGTTTGGTTAAAGGGTATAAAATTATAGGTAAATAGGAAAATAAGGTCTGGTGATCTAAGGTAACTACAGCTAATAATATTGTACTGTATACTTCTGAATAGCTAGAAAAGATCTTGAACATAATCACTGCAAAGAAATGAAAAATGTTTAGGTGATGGATATGCTATCTACCCTGAGTGGATCACTGTGAAATACATACATGTATTGAAACAACACACTGTACCCCATAAATATGTACAACTAAAAATAAATCTACGTTTTCAGCCTAATTCCTCTCCTGAAGCCTAGGCATATACGCAGCTGTGAACTGGGTGTGTTTACTCCACATCAATTCCTCGCCCAGTGTCCTCTTCCTCATTAAATGGTATAATAACTCAATTGCCAGTTCACCAAGTCAGAAACATGGGTCTTACCCTTGACTTTTCCCTTTCTTATCCCCACCTCCCCAATCTCCACAATCACCAAGTTATACTAATTTTGTATTCTTGGTATTTAAAAAATCTGTCTACTTCTCTTCATCCATTTTACCATGATTTCGTGAAGGCAGCCTTCTTCTCTCATATAAATGACTGCATCGGGCTTCTGCCTGTTCTCCCTTCCTCCAATCTTGCTTCCATCCATTCTAGGCAGCCAGTCACCTTTCTAAAATGTAAAACTAGTTAAATCATATCTCTGCTTAAATCCATGAATGTCTGCTCTGCCCTCGGGATAAAGTCCAAGTTCCTTTACCCGACAGATTAGACACATAATTCGGACCCCTGTTGTCCTCTCCAGCCTCAAGTCTCACTCCTTTCCCAACATTCAGCATCCCAGCTATCCTGCAGTCTTGCTTGTCTAAGATCAAGGAGGCTCTCTCTTACCTCAGAGTCCATGAATCCATGCACTGGTTCTTGTGCTTGGAATCTATTTACCCCCTCTTCATTTAGGTAGCCATCATTTATACTTCAGATCTCAACACAGACTGCTTTCTCCTGCGCTTTCTCTAACCCGGGAAAATTGTTCCTACTAAATTTCTTCCTAACTGCAACCCATGCTCATCCCCTGTGGTAGCCAGTTTCCAAGATAGCCTCCAATTACCCCTCCTCATGTACTTATGCCATTGAGATGTTCCATGGTTGGTGTATGCGACCAACAGAATATGGGGATATGATGATTTGTCTTGTTTGAGATCAGGTTATAAAAGACATTGTTGCTTCTGTCTTGGTCTTTCTCTCTCT